GGCACTCTAGTTTGAGCAACAGAGTGAGACTCTATCTTAAAAAAAAAAAAAAAGAGAGAGCGGTGCCTGTGGCTCAAAGGAGTAGGGCGCCAGCCCCATATACTGGAGGTGGCAGGTTCAAACCTATCCCCAGCCAAAAACTGGAAAAAAAAAAAAAAAGGTGGCACCTTTTTTTAGGTAGCTCAGTGGGTAAGGCGCCAGCCACATACATTAAGGGTGGTGGGTTCGAACCCAGCCTGGGCCAGTTAAACAACAATGGCAACTGCAACAAAATAGCTGGTTGTTGTGGCAGGTGCCTGTAGTCCCAGCTACTTGGGAGGGTGAGGCAAGAGAATTGCTTAAGCCCAAGAGTTTGAGGTTGCTGTGAGCTGTGATGCCACAGAACTCTACTGAGGGTGACATACTGAGACGCTCTCTCAAAAAAAGAAAAAAAAAAAGATTTGTCTATCTTACTATTCACTTAATCCTCATTCTTTTCATCTACATGAAAGGAAAAGTAATTCTTAGCTTTTGATTTATGCAGTAAGAGAAGTAGATTAAATACATAACATATGATCACACATTGTAAACAGCCAATGACTGCTGTGTGATAAACTGATCATTGTAGCTTTCTACAATTTTAGTAAACCTAGGGCCAGCACCTTTCCTATAATAGTAAAGTGGAGTGGCTTTGCCTGTGGCCTCTGAAGTCAGGCTACCTCTGAACTGGACTCCAGGCTTTATGATTTTAGACAAATACTTTACCTCTTTAGATCTCAGTTTCCTCATCTTTCAAATGGAGATGATAATGGTACCTAACTTCTAGGCTGAGAAGATTAAGTGAGCTAATATAGAAAGTGCTTAGCATAGTGCTGGCCTATTATAAATAGTAAAATGTTAACTGTTGTTACTGTTTTATTATCTCATGGGGGTTGTTACCTTTGTTGCAATTTTCATTAACTGTTTAGTTCTCTGAGAGAACATACTAGGTCACCACATGTTCCACAGGAAGGTTTGATTTCCTCTGGTTTCTCTTGGCTACCTGCAGACCCATGGACTTAACTAGCCTGAAGAGGAATCTGTCCAAGGGACGGATTCGCAGCATGGTCCACTTCCAACGGGACCTGATGCTGATGTTTCAAAATGCTGTGATGTACAATGACTCTGATCATCACGTGTACCATATGGCTAGGGAGATGCAGCGAGAAGTCTTGGAGCAGATTCAGGTATTGTACGTAGAAAGCTACAAGAAAAAGTAGTATAGCCTCTGGAATCTGATTTCAGAACGTCTGTTAAAGTAAAGGTGATACTGAGATGACCTCAGTTTATCTTTAGAGGTGATTCAAGATCCTGAAGGATTGATACTGTGCTTGCTGGTTTGGACAACCCGGAGCCTCAGTGGGTCCAGCTTTATTGGATAGCAAAGTAGTGTGAGAAGCTAAATAGTGAAGAGCTCTTGAAAGGGGTAATATCTTCAATCTAGGCATGGAAATTTTTTAAAAAATTTTAAAAAGGAAATGAAGAGAGCTGGAGATAGACAAGAAATGGGAACTTCTGCTTCCAGAGTCTCAAGTCAGAGAGCCAAACTTGTAAATCAGAGGCTGGAATTGCTATTTTTTAGTTGCTACATCTGTTGCTATTAATGTATGTTCACACTTCCCTATCTTTAGGGGATAAAACATATTAGCCAGAAGTATTTTTTTTTCTGGGCAGCATTGTGGTTTAAATAAAAAAAGTATAGTTCAGCCCCATGTACCGAGGGTGGCAGGTTCGAACCTAGCCCTGGCCAGCTAAAACAGCAGTGACAACTGCAACAAAAGATAGCCGGGCATTGTGGTGGGCACCTGTAGTCCCAGCTACTTGGAGACAAGAGAATTACCGAAGCCCAAGAGTTGGAGGTTGCTGTGAGCTGTGATGCCACAGCACTCTACCAAGGGTAACAAAGTGAGACTCTGTCTCAAAAAAAAAAAAAAAAGTATAGTTGAAGCTGGGCGCAACCTTACACCTATGAATCCCAGTGCTTTGGGAACCCAAAGGCCAGGAGTTCAAGACTAGTGTGGGCAACACAGCAAGACTCCATCTCTAAAATTTTTTTTTTTTTTTAGATAGAGCCTTACTCTGTCACCCTGGGTAGAGTGCCTTAGAGTCATAGCTCACAGCAACCTCAAACTCCTGGATTTGAGCAATCCTCTTACTTCAGCCTCCTGAATAGCTAGGCCTTCAGGTGTGTATCCCTACACCCAGCTAGGTTTTCTATTTTTAGTAGAGACAGTGTATCACTCTTGCTCAGGCTGATCTTGAACTCCTGAGCTCAAGCAATCCACCCATCTTAGCCTTCCAGAGTTCTAGAATTACAGGCATGAGCCACCATGCCTGGCTCTACAAAATATTTTTTTAAATAGCTGGCTGTGCTAGCTCCAGCTACTCGGGAGGCTGAAGCAGGAGGATTGCTTGACCCCAGGAGCTGGAAGCTACAGTCAGCTATGATCACAGTACTGAACTTTAGCCTGGGCAACAGAGGAAGACCATGTTTTTTTGTTTGTTTATTTTTGAGACAGAGTCTTGCTTTGTCACCCGTCCTAGAGTGCCCTAGCATCATAGCTCATAGCAACCTCAAATCAATCCTCTTGGGCTCAATTGATCCTCTTGACTCAGCCTCCCAAGTAGCTGGGACTTCAGGTGCCTGCTGCACCACCTGGCTATTTTTAGAGATGAGGTCTGCTCTGGCTCATGCTGGTCTCCAACTCCTGAGCTCAGGCAGTTCACCTGCCTTGGCCTCCCAAAGTGCTAGGATTACAGATGTGAGCCACTGTGCCTAGCCCAATACCAGGTTTGTAAAAAAATAAAAACAAAATCAAAAAAAGCCCTTTAGTTGAATATTTGATTTTTTGCAGTTTTTAAGAGTCATAGCTTGCTATCTGTTCCTTGGCTCTGTAGGTGCTGAGTGCTTGGTTAGACAAAAAAGGAGACTTTAGTGTGGAATGAGAACAAGCCAACCAAGTGGATGATGGAAGACAAACTAGAGCTGCTACCCTAACCTTTTCTGGAGTTTGAATCTCTTCCCCGAGACTCTAATCCATAGAAGATCTCAGTACTTGTTTACCACTTCCCTGTTGTCTTTTCTAGTAAAAAAAGAAAACCTTAACTCATAGTCAAGGAGTCAAAGATGCCTGTGCACATGATATTAAAAAAATAGGGAAATTGAGTTTTGGGTTTATGCCACCTTTGTTCCATAGGTTAATTAGTTTAAACCTTTTATTAATGCTCCATAAATAAATGTTATTTTACAAACTGAATGTTGCAGTTTTTTATTTTTTTATTTTTTATTTTTTTAGAGAGAGCCTCAACCTGTAGTCCTGGGTAGAGTGCCGTGACATCACAACTCACAGCAACCTCTAACTCCTGGCTTAAGCGATTCTCTTGTCTCAGCCTCCCAAGTAGCTGGGACTACAGGCAGCCACTACAATGCCCGGCTATTTTGTTGTTGTTGTTGTTGTAGTTGTTGTTGTTTGGCAGGCCAGAGCTGGATTCAAACCTACCAAGTCTGGTGTATGTGGCTGGCGCCTTAGGCACTTGAGCTACAGGCGCCGAGCCTGAATGTTGCTTTTTAATGATTACAGAAGCTGGGATAAGAGGGTACAACATCATCTGGTGAAATGAGTAAAGATATTTGACATGGGCTCGGAGGCCGTAGCACAGTGGTTACAGCACCAGCCACATACACAGAAGTTGGCTGGTTTGAACCTGGCCCGGAACCAGCTAACCAACAATGACAACTGCAACAAAAAATAGCCGGGCATTGTGGCGGGCGCCTGTGGTCCCAGCTACTGGGAGGCTGAGGCAAGAGAATCGCTTAAGCCCAGGAGTTGGAGGGTGCTGTGAGCTGTGACGTCACAGTACTCTACTGAGGGTGACATAGTGAGACTCTGTCTCAAAAAAAAAAAAAGATATTTGACAAAGTTCTCCTTACATTCACTGTGTGGAAGGGGATGGGGGGAGTCTGATTTGTCTCATCATTTATAAAGTGAAGATAATGAAGCATCTTTCAACTGAGGCAAGGATGAAATAAGATAAATGATGAGGAAAAAGAAAACATGTAGTGCTCTAAAGATGCATAAGGAGGCTCGGCGCCTGTGGCTCAAGTGGCTAAGGCGCCAGCCACGTACAACCAAGGTGGCGGGTTGGAATCCAGCCCGGGCCCGCCAAACAACAATGATGGCTGCAACCAAAAAATAGCTGGGCGTTGTGGTGGGCGCCTGTGGTCCCAGCTACTCGGGAGGCTGAGGCAAGAGACTCGCTTGAGCCCAGGAGTTGGAGGTTGCTGTGAGCTGTGATGCCATGGCACTCTACCCAGGGGGACAGCTTGAGGCTCTGTCTCAAAAAAAAAAAAAAGATGCATAAGGAGAATAAAAACGACTGTGGCTAGCTCCCTTTCTTGGATAAGCCTAGCTGGCCAGAGGCAGTGAAACACCTTGCTGGAATGGGCCCTTTGCAGCCACCGTCTGCAAGCTGGGACTTATGCGTCGGGTCTCCTAGCAACAAGTAATAGCACCGGAAGGCGAGGGCTTGGGTGAGTGCTCATAGAGTCAAACTCAGAATTTGCTGGTGCAGCTGACAGTCCCAGGTGACTTGGGGGCCCTGCAGGGGCCGGGGCACTTTACTAAGACAATGGGGTGAGCAGCTCACCTGTCTAGGAGTGGTGCGCGGTGTTTCTGTGCCCTCCCTCGCAACCTGCAACCTGCGCTAGTTCCAGGCCTTCCTGGCCCTCCTGGACGCTTTGGCTTCTGGTCACGTGAGCCCCTTAGTTCTTTTGATCTCTGGGAAAGCAGGTGTGAAAACTCGGGGATCGGTTTGGATGCAGTAGAAATCTTATTGCGACCCAGTTAAAAAACACATGGCGGTTTCTACCTTTATAAATTAATAAAATCAAGTACCTAACGTTGGTATTCTTAATCACAGTTACACTGAATTTTCAGTTGATACTTGTCAGGAACTCTAAAATTGTACCCTGAAAAGCCAGAATGGAGATATCCATGCCCCCACCTCAGATACATGTAGAAAAAACTCTGACCATTATTAAACCAGATATTGTTGACAAAGAGGAGGAGATACAAGATATTATTCTCAGATCTGGATTCACTATTGTTCAGGTAACTTCTGGTCACAATGATCATGCTTTCTTTTTCTATTCTTTCTTAAATTTTTAAAATGATTATGTAAATGTGCCCACCAATTTACATCATTAGTGTTTAACATTACATTTAGGTTTATTCTTTTAAGTATAAAAGTTATATATGAACGTTTTAAGTTTTTTAATACTTCACAAGGCCATATGATGAGAAAATTGACTTTTCCTTTACCTGTCCTCTCCCACTCCAAGACCCAGTCTCCAAAGAAAGATGTTCACTTACCACTTTCTCTTCTTCCAGAAGTTTTCTGTATACTTACATTTTTTCTCCCATAGAATAGAGCAGTTCCCTTCCCTCAATCTCCTTTACAAAGTCTCTCAGATAGGCTCGGCGCCTGTACCTCAGTGAGTAGGGCTCTAGCCACATACACTGGCCAGTTCCAGTCTGGCCCAGGCCTGCTAAAAACAATGACAACTGCAACCAAAAAATAGCTGGGTGTTGTGGAAGACGCCTGTAGTCCCAGCTACTCAGGAGGCTGAGGCAAGAGAATTGTTTTAGTCCAAGAGTTTGAGGTTGCTGTGGCTGTGACGCCACTGCACTCTACCAAGGGCAACATAGTGAGACTCGGTCTCAAAAAAAAAGTCTCTCAGCATTCCAGATTACTACGTGTGAATCTGTGTTATTCTTCCTAGTTTCTAGGTACTGTCCTTTGTTTTGGAATCTCAGCTTATTCATTTGATCCTCATGTTTTAGGCTGTTAGCATATTTTTTAATTATTACAAATTTTGTAGTAATTATCACAGTTATTCTAGAGTACTATGGCATCAGCCTAGCTGACAGCAACCTCAAACTCCTGGGTTCGAGTGATCCTCCTGCCTCAGCCTCCCAGGAAGCTGGGACTGCAGGCTCCCACCAAGTGCACAGCAACCTCAAACTCCTGGGCTCAAGCGAGTCTCCTGCCTCAGCCTCCCAAGTAGCTGGGAACATGGGCGTCTGCCACAATGCTTGGCTATTTTTTTTTTTTTTTGGTTGTAGCCGTCATTGTTGTTTGGCAGGCCCGGGCTGGATTCGAACCCGCCACCTTAGCTGTATGTAGCTGACGCCCTAGCCACTTGAGCCACAGGTGCCGAGCCTCCTCTTCTTTTTTTTGAGACAGAGTTTCACTATTTTGCCCTAGGTAGAGTGCCATAGTGTCATAGTTCACAGCAACCTCAAACTCTTGCCTCAGCCTCCCAAGTAACTGGAACTACAGGCACCTGCCATAACCCTTGGCTATTTTTTGTTTTTAGCAGGCCTGGGCAGGTTCAAACCTACCAGCCCTGGTGCCTGGCGCCCTAACCACTGACAGCACCAGGCCTAAATTTTCTATTTTTAGTAGATACAGGGTCTCAATCTTGCTCTGGCTGGTCATAAACTTCTGATTTCTGCGGCACCTATAGCTCAATGGGGAGGATGCTGGCCACATACACCAAGGCTGGCAGACTCGAACCTGGTCCAGGCCAGCTAAACAATAATGACAACTACCAAAAAAAAGCCGGACATTGTGGCAGATACCTGTAATCCCAGCTATTTGGGAGGCTGAGGCAAGAGAATTGCTTAAGCCCAAGAATTTAAGGTTGCTGTGAGTTGTGACACCGGGGCATTCTACCAAGGGCAACATAGTGAGACTGTCTGCAAAATAAAACCAACTTCTGAGCTCTGACTCTCAGAGTGTTGGGATTGTAGATGTCTGCTACAAGTCTGGACTAATTGAAATATTTAATGTTCTATGCATTGAAATATTTAATGTTTTATGTCTGCTATTTGTTTTGCAGTGGTAAACATTGTCATTCTAGAGTTGTGAAAATGAATGTAAATACTGTTATTAAAAATTGTCAAATAGGGGCTCAGTGCCTGTTGCTCAGAGGCTAGGGTGCCGGCCACATACACCAGAGCTGGCAGGTTCGAACCCAGCCTTGGCCTGCCAAACAACAATGACAACTGCAACAAAGAAGTAGCCAGGCATTGTAGCAGACTCCTGTAGTCCCACCTACTTGGGAGGCTGAGTCAAGAGAATCACTTAAGCCCAAGAGTTTGAGATTGCCCTGAGCTATGATGCCATAGCACTCTACCCAGGGCAACAGTTTAAGACTGTCTCAAAAAAAAAAGTCAAATAGGGTGGCACCTGGGGCTCAAAGGAGTAGGGCGCCGGCCCCATATACCAAGGTGGTGGGTTCAAACCTGGCCCCTGCCAAAAACTGCAAAAAAGAAAACATCAAATACGGCCCTATGCAATGACTCATGCCTGTAATCCTAGCACTCTGGGAGACTGAGGTGGATGGATTGCCTGAGCTCACCAGTTCAAGGTCAGAGCAAGAGCTCATCTCTTAAAATAGCCAAGCATTATGGCAGGCCCCTATAATCCCAGCTACTTGGGAGGCTGAGGCAAGAGAATCGCTTAAGCCCAAGAGTTTGAGGTTGCTTTGAGCTGTGATGCCACAGTATTCTACTAAGGGTAACAAAGTGAGACTCTGTCTCCAAAAACAGAAAAAAAATTATCAAATAGAACTCAATATTTTTTTTTATTTTTTATTTTTTTTGAGACAGAGCCTCAAGCTCTTGCCCTGGGTAGAGTGCTGTGGCATCACAGCTCACAGCAACCTCCAATTCCTGGGCTTAAGCAATTCTCTTGCCTCAGCCTCCCAAGTAGCTGGGAGTACAGGTGCCTGCTATAACGCCGGCTACTTTTGGTTGTAGTTGTCATTGTTGTTTGGCAGGCCCAGGCTGGATTTGAACCTACCAGTTCTAGTGTAAGTGGCTGGCACCTTAGCTGCTTGAGCTACAGGCACCGAGACAGAACTCAGTATTTTTAATCTTCCCTTTTTGTACTATTCTCATTTGAATTTCTATTTTTTATTCTCTTACATAATATCATATTACCTGTTTAGGAAAGATAAGAGATTGTAGCTGAGCTTTAAAGAGATAAGAGATTTGCAGCTGAGGGTAGGAATGGTATAAGAAAGTATAAGGAACTATTTAGTACAATAAAAAGACTCAGGCAAAGATGAACTTTTTAATGTTAGGAAAACTGGTAGCCACTAATAAAAGTTGAATCAACCCAGCGGGGCTTGTGGCTCAAAGGAGTAGGGTGCCAGCCCTATATACCAGAGGTGGTGGGTTCAAACCTGGCTCTGGCCAAAAACTGCAAAAAAAAAAATAGTAAGTAAATAAAAGAATCAACTATTACAAACTTCAAATCTGAGATCTAAATATTGAAAAGTAGCCTTCTTTACTGTGACTTAAAGTCTAGAATCCATAAAAGATTGATAAAATGGGCCTGGTGCTGTGGCTTATACTTATAATCCCAGCACTTGGGAGACCAAGGCAGGTGGATTGCCTGAGCTCACAGTTTTGAGACCAGCCTGAGCCCAGAGCAAGACCTCATCTCTTAAAAATAGCTGGGTGCTTTGGCAGGTGCCTGTAGTCACAGCTACTTGGGAGACTGAGGCGGGAGAATCGCTTAAGCCAAGGAGTTTGAGGTTGCTGTGAGCTGTGATGCAACAGCACTTTACCAAGGGTGACAAAGTGAGCTCTGTCGCTAAAAACCAAAAATAAAAATAAAAATAGGGTTTTTATAATTAGGAGTCAAATCTTCTGGAAAATGATTTATCTTTTCAGTAGGTGGCAGTGTTTCCTTTGTTACAAACTAAGGGTTCCATTCTGATAGTGTTTGAAATTACTGCTGCTCTTTGAAAATATCCAACCTAATTTCAAAGTTTCATCTGATCTAATTGTAAAGCAACCAATGGAATCATTAAGTATCAGTTTTCATTTAAGATGAACCCTTAATTTTAAAAATTATGCTACATTGGCTCGTTGCCTGTAGTTTAGCAGCTAGGGCGCCAGCCACATACACCAGAGTTGGTAGGTTTGAACCCAGGCCAGGCCTGCCAAACAACAATGACAACTACAACCAAAATATAGCCGGGATTGTTTCAAGCACCTATAGTCCCACCTACATGGGAGGCTGAGGCAAGAGAATCGCTTAAGCCCAAGAGTTTGAGGTTGCTGTGAGCTGTGACGCCACAGCACTCTACCGAGGGCAACACAATGACACTCTGTCTCAAAAAAAAAAAAAAAAAAAATTATTGGCTAGCATACCCGTAAAAGGAGCTCTCCCCTGATTGTTAAGGAGCATGTGACAGGTAAGGGTTTTTACTGTACTAGATGAGATTTTATTTTTTAAACTCAGCAAGAAAAACCCCCAAACAAGAAACACTAATATGGCTGGGCAAGATGGCTCACGCCCTAATCCCAGCACTTGGGAGGCTGAGGCCAAAGGATTGCCTGACCTCACAGGTTCAAGACTAG